AAAAAAAACAAAAAAAAACAACAACTTTCACACATATAGGCAGATGCGTATAAACTCGTTTCCTTCTCTAGCATTGCTTGATGTTCCTGAGGACCACGACAGGGGAAAAAAAACAGACAAACAAAAAGTGCAAAAAGCAGTGTGAGAAAATGTTGATCAGAGGCATGAGGGACAGCGGGACCAGAGACACAGCCGGGGTTTCTGGATCACGGTCTGGTGAGTAATGATCTCCACATGCCAAACTCAACTGTGACCATAGAGGTGACTTGCTCTTAGATCACTAGTCTTTTTTTTTTTTTTTTTTTTTTTTTTAAACAGTGCAATCAGAGATATCTTGACTGATTTCAGTATGAGCTACCGGTGACGGTTTAATGTCAACTGATATTCACATCGATCAGCATGGCTCGACAACATTTTTAGTCTCAGTGTATTTGGGGGGCTGGGTTTAAATTATTTTAATGTATCATGTAATGAATTCAAAATATGCAGAGGGTCTAGAAGAAATGGCTAATTTGTCTCTCAGATGATAATATATGAAAGAAACAGGGTCAATTGATTTCAACCAATAATAATAATAATAAAAATATCAACAGGCATATTAACACATTTAAATCTATTTCAAATGTGGTTTATAAATATATCATGTGTGGTTTCATTTTCACCAACACATTTCCATCTACAGTAGTTTTAGTTGTAGTCATGAGGTCTTTTCATTAAACGACAGCTCTCTCTCTCTCTCTGTCTGATAAAGGACACAGCGCCCCGTCTAGTCAAACAGGCGTCACCCTGCACCACAGAGCACTCACTCCCTTCAGCTGACTCATCTGGTTTGCCATGGACTTTTTAAATCATCTATTATCACACCAATTGGATCCAGCAAAGGTTGCTCCCTGGCTGTTTCCTAGTGCCTTTTATAAAAAAAGTTAGGAAAACACAACTGCCCTTCGATTGTCTTACACTCATGCATGAATCCCGTTATATCACTAGTATATATATATATATATACCAAAATCACAAATGCTATGATTTCACGCAAAGAAAACAAAAGCAAAAACAAAACATATAGCAGTGAAACAATCAAGGTATAATTAACAGTTCCTTCAAAAAATAATAATTTAAACTCATAAAAAAAGAAAAAAAGAAAAAGAAGAAGTGGAAACATCTTATTCAGAGCGCTCTGCTGTGGGACTGGTCAGGTTTGACAACCCTCAGCCACAAGCATCATAACAGCCAAACTGTGTTCCCTTAGATACATAACCTTTACTTCACAACATCATCATCGGTCACTCATTTGCTTTTTCAGACATTCATGAGCACATTTCCCACTCATCATCAAAGAATAAATAAAAGTGAAAGAGCGACTCATTGACCCACAGAGGAAGCAGAGATGAATCTAGATGTCTGTCAAACGGCTTTGTTGGCCTTTTCCTCCCAAACGATAGGTAAGAGCGACTTTGACGATCACTGCGGCAGACCGCAGCTGTCGAGCTCACCTGTGTCAGTCAGTGCAAAGGTCGAACTAAGGAAAAGCCGTTTAAACATATCGAGAATCAGTTTGCAGAAGACAAAATAACCAAAGCATTGGCGCAATAAAACTCATGAAGAACAATAAGTCCTCGACACTACAGCCAGTTACACAACCACTGCTGGCAATGGCCAGCCTGGCTGTACTGTGGAGGACTTAGGATGTGGCCAGTTTAAAAAGTATGACTAAAAGTCACAGCAGTAATGGCAGACTACGCACAACACACATCGGCAAAATATATCTGAGAACAGTTTTTGAGCGCGTAGTTGGAGCTTTGTGTCACCAGACCTCTTGAAGATTCTCAAAAAAGAAACCGCCATCAAACACTAAATGAGCTCCAAATAGGAAATATCTGACGTGTATTCAAATACCGTTTTGTTACCATTGTCTGAACACGAGCACAGCGAGATGAAGCAGACATGGCTGAGAGTGGAGGCTCGGTACCTGACGGACACAGCGAGGATCAAACACAGGTGCCAGCTCGAAGGGTCGGATGGCCACGGACAGAGGGAGGAGAAAGAGGGAAGAGGTTTGAGATGAATCGAAAGGATTGGGCTGGTTGGCAGACCGATGATGAAGGCGTAAAGATGCTGAGCAAATGGAAACTTGGGTGAACAATATCTATAAGAAAAAAATAAGAAGTCTAGAAGACAAATTAAGGTTAGGGTTTAGACGAAGACCAGAGGAGACTCAAAGGAGAGCAATAAAGGAGAAGTCCTAGACAAGATGCTACGACGACAGCAGCCTCGCAAAACGTGGACCCAATGACGCATCAACACAACCTCTTCCTGCACCCAGCAGGATGACGGCAGCAGTCGCTGGACAGCCACAGACTCTTCAGAGTAAATGAGCTCCCATGATTTAGGCCAGCTTTGCGAGGCTACTGTGACAGGGAAGTTAGAGATTATGGTAGGTAGAAGCCAAATGGATTAAGTCTAACATGAGGAAGCACATGAGATACTATGTGTGGGCCAGGGCCTGTGAATCTGGGAGGTGAACTCACAGTAAGGCACAGTGCTCTGCTTGCGTGGTTGATGATGCTCATTCATGCTACTACAACCGCTGATGACAGCTACTGCAAACAATGGACAAAACATCGATGACAAAGCACATTTCCTCTTCTTCTTCCGTTCCATTTCCACGCCGTGACAATGTCCCCACTCCTGACTTTGACTCTTTGGGCTCTCTTGAATCTGGCAGTACATCCCTCCTTAGCACCAGAATATTGTTGAAAACACGAGTCCTCCTCGATCAGATGATTTGGTGCTTCTTTATCTTCAGTCAAGTCTTCTTCATATGTTTTAGAAGAATTCACACACACACCGTATGATAAGACAAAACCTGCACAATACAGCCACACGAACATACTGCATGTCAGCTCAGTATATAAGTCCTGTTTATGGAAATAGCCCCGTGTATTTAGCCCAGGGTTGAATCAGTCAGATCACTTGACTTTGTGCATTTCGCCCCTTTGTTTTTGAGGACTCCAGGAGTTACTGAAGCACGGATTTGGATACACGTGAAGCAAAAACAACCATTTTCACTATAACAAAAGAGAACAACACAAAGCAATACAACTTTCATATCATCTTAAATATGTAAACAAACACTACAACTTAAATATATTTGGTGTGATGCAGACATATTTAAATACAAATCTTTGTTTTATACCAGCGCTCATGTGGTGCGGCTGATTATTGCACTGCAAACGCTGGAGCCCTATTGCACTTTAGATCTTTCAGCTTCAACCACTGGTCTAAATTAACATCTGCAACCGTGGGTCACATGTCAAAGGCTTTCCGAAATCCCCATCATCTACACGGTGTTCCCTTTTTAAAAAAACAACAAACAAAAACCTTGGTGTCCTTTGCTTATTTTCATCTCAAGCTCTGTAGAGCGTGGTGCAAATGAAGACAAGGAGACCAGACAGGTGCAAGAAATATTATTATATAGTTATCCTCATAAAGCTGTGGTTGTCATGCAGGTTTGTCACTGCTGATTGTGCAGGTGAAGTCGGTGGTAGAGCCTCCAGTCTTTTACGAAACAATCTGGCTGACAAACAGAGAGACAGTTTAGGTCCTCATAGGTCCCTCCGTTGTCCCACACACACACTTTTTATACTGATTCCATTTTACTTCTCAGCATCCTTTAAGTCTGTGGATATCTTTAGTTAGTAGTTTTTGCATTCTGGATGCCAGGCAACTACTACTCCACACATCCCTCCCAGGTGTGTCCCCCCCAGCAACACATGGTGTGATGGACCAGGATGGATTGGCGTGGCTGCTTGAGGCCTGTGTGGGCAGGGATTGTGTGGCTATGAACGGTGGTTTCAAGTTACCAAATACTAAGTTTGTGCCTCTCTCTGTGTTTGCTGAGGTAGCGAGAGGAGTTGCTGGGGATGGATGGAGTGCTGTGTGTGTTTGTGTGGCGTGCATAAGTCTGCTTTTAGGGATTTTAAAGAACAGGTTTTGGGAATACAATGTGTGTGTAGCTTTAAGAATCAAAAAAAAAATATTTGAGTATGGGTGCAAGGGAGTGTGTATGGCTATCACTTTATATGTATTTTATTATGGGGACATGGTCCTGCATTCTGCTATTCTGGTCACGCAATATCGTCTTCTTTTCTGTATGTGTGCGTGTACATGTGTAGTGGTCAGCCTGCTCATCACAATTTGTGTTTTCCTGACAGGATGGCGCGGTAAAGCTCGTCGTCCAGCTGCACATAAGACCCTCTTCTGGAATCCAGGAAGTAAAGTTTGTCCGACACTGCGCTGGGGTCAAAGCTGTCCCGACGCAAGTCCATCTTCTGAAACTTAAACGTTCCTGGGAAAGAGACAGAGAGATTATGTAGGTATTTCACTTCGCCAATTAAGCTGCCATTTAACCATCTTAGCGCCTGTGTCCACGTAACGTGTTTGTTCTGAGTGCCAGCGTCTTTTTTTCAATTGTTCCAAATGAGGAGAGAGTTCAAAAATCACTGGTTACGTCACTGTAGAAAATGAAGGAGAAGCTTGTTTTGGCTGTGCCTGTCCATCTAGAGCTGTATATGTCAGACAGACACTGTCATAACACAGACCGAAAAGCCCATTAGTGGGAGCAGATCGGTCGGGCGGATAAATATTGCTGCTGGTGAGTGCATGCTTTTATGGCCGTTGTCTCCAACGGAACGTCCATCTTGCGTTACAGCTGTCAGATTGAGCGCTGACGGCTCAGTATGAGGTCAAGCATCCACCGGTTGGTGCTCATGGTGGAAAACCAAGGTCAAACTAATAAATAGTGTCCAACTAGATAATAAAAAGCGGCAATGCTGGTCCATCATACAGCGCTGGGATAAAGCGCTCCCAGTGCCTTGCTGGTGCTTTTCTGCCAGAAACAGACGCAGACCCTTAGAATTACTTCACTGTCTTACTGCTTTTAGAAAAATGTAAAACAAAACCACTATTCAATCAAATGTTCATTTTTAATGAGCAATATTTAGAGCACACAGTATAATTTAGAGCTGTAACGATAGTCATTTAATCATTTATCTGACTGTCAGAAAATTAATCGCAACTATGTCGTTCAGTTAAGTCATATTTCAAGCAAAAAAACATTTTCTGGTTTCACCTTCTTACATAGAGGAGGGGCACATTTTAAATGCTGTGTTTACAAACGGCAAGCAACAATGTGAAAACTGTACAAATCAATCAAGTTAAAATTTAAATCAAGATTTTCAGAAGCGGACAAACGGCAGTGAAAAGAAAATCCTACCTGTCTTGTTGACCTCTGGAAGGAATCGAAGGAATACAGGTCTGGCGTAGGGAGGAAGAGCCTTCTCCATGTCCTTCACAAACTTCCCCAGGTCAGTAGAGTGAGACGGATCAGCGATGGCGGCCATGCCAGCCTTTCCCTCGGCTCCTGTGCACACAGAAATGGGGCCTGTCAGAGGACTAATTCTGTGGCCCACTGAGGTTGAAGGTCAGACTAATGTTCTCTTGGAATAGTTAGTCTGTGTGTTATTTCTGTTGTGGCAGCATGCATTTCATATGTTTTCTGCTGTGATCTGTCTGACTTGTGTATCTAATATTCAATGTAATCACAGTGACAGGAAAGTGTCATCTGTGATTCTTCTCTGCGGAGCCTCAACGACAGCTCTGCTTTATATGTAATGACATTTAAAAATGGTACAATTCACTTTATGTCACAATAGATTATCAGTAAGCCAAGATACTGCAGCTGCGATTACTATAGTATTCCACACAGCATGGTTCTTGTTATACATCTGTTCAGTATTCCATTAAACAAATATTCAATCATGTGTGTTGACAGATTTTACCTGGTACTTCCACTCCATAGACGACTACATCCTTCATGTCTAGCAGCTTGCTGAGAGTTCCCTCCACCTCGGTCGTTGAGACGTTCTCTCCTTTCCAGCGGAAAGTGTCTCCTGTACGGTCCTTGAAGAACATGTGGCCGCACTCATCCATGATCAACACATCACCTGGTGAGAGAATTGGGGGGGGGGGGGCCGATAGAGCATATTCATTTAGTCAGTCAGCATGGAGTACAATGAATAACTCAATATGCATGTTTGTGTGTGTGTGTGTGTGTGTGTGTGACTCTAACCAGAGAGATAGGCACTGTCTCCCTTCTTGAAGACACTCTGAGATATCTTCTTGCTGGTTGCCGATTGGTTGACATAGCCATCAAACCTCCGAAGAGGGTCATTCTGAATGATCCTGCCGACTAGCTGCCCAGGTTCACCTATAAGAGAGAACAGAAGAATGTATGAATGCATAACTGCCTATCATTTTGGCTAATCACATATAAAGTGGATTGTTTGAGCGCCATCAGGGGTTTCAGAAAGGACTAAGTGTGTGTGACTGTATGTCTACAACACTTACACAATGGACTTTGTTGAAGCCTTGTTGTGCGCCTATTTACCTGCGCTTCCTGAGGTATTTTTCTGCTCAACACCCCCACTCTGTATGTACTTTTAAGCTTACCAAGTGTAAAGTTGATGTTTAATAAGTGTATAGATTAAACCTACCAGGTTTACAAGGAATACAGACGCCATCAGGTCCCCTAATGAGCTCCATGGTCTCCTCATCAACCCTCACCAGTCTGATGGGGTAGATGAAGGGCAGGATCCGACTGTTGAAGCCACACGCACCAATCTATAGCACAGACAAAACAAATATGAACAAGGCGTACCAGTTCCAACCAGCCAAACTGCAGTGCTGTGTGCCGTCTTGTACGAGAAGCTACTAATACTGAAAACAACATTTTTAGAACAACTGATGTTTAACATGAAAAGGATCAGAGAGAAAAGCAACGTAATGTGAAACTCTCTGAGGTGAGTCGGTGGTGGTAGTTTTAAGGATTTCAGAAGAGGGTGTTTCACAACACTACCAACTAAAACGCACAACACAAAGCAAATCTTGACAAAAAAAACAACTGAAAGCCTGTTTGGTGAGAGCATCATTACCACTTCGTTGCACATTCCCACCTTGTTATCGAAGTTGCCCAGGCTGCAGTTGCACTCTGTGGCTCCGTAGAACTCTGCGATCTGTGGGATGTTGAAGCGGTTCATGAACTCCTCCCAGATGGACTGGCGCAGGCCGTTGCCCAGTGCCATGCGCACCCGATGTTGTTTCTCCGTGTCCCGAACTGGCTGGTTCAGCAGGTATCGGCAGATCTCACCAATGTACTGCACAATCTGGAGGAGAATGGAGCAGGATGATAGTGAGAAACAGACAGAACAGAGATATGAACAGACTAATCATTGATTGAACACCAAGCTTACAATAATGAAAAAAGGGATTCAGAGAGATTAACTGGGGGAAGAACATGAAATCTTGAGATTATTTTTTAAAGAATGTGACAGGTAAGACATCTTTGGAGAAACACTGTGAGATTGTGGTGTGTTACTCTGCCCACCAAATCTTTGGCAGTGACTTGTAATCGACATTATTACTTACAGTGCAGTTGTATTTGGCACAGTCGTCCCAGAAACGCGAGGCAGAGAACTTCTTTCGGATGACTACAGTCATGCCATGTATTATACACTGGCCCACTCCCACAATGTTACCTGTGGTTAAAAAAGATTATGAAATATCGTCATGGTCATAGCATGATAGACTCAACATGGAAACATACAAAGACATCATTTAAAGCAACAACATGCAACTTGTACCCCATTTTCTGTAAGCGGAGGAAGTCAAGAACACCGAGACTAAGTGTGTGCGAGAATAGACACTCATTCAAAAACACAGGTCAACAATAGCAACTCTTTTTGTTGCCAATTGGCTTCATCCACTATCTTAGGCTGGATGCTGTTTCAAGCTAAGTTCACCAAGATGAACATTATAAAGGTACTCAGCTGACGCAATCCCACACATTTATAGTTTTACCTGCGGAGTGGTAGAGAGGAAGGAAATCGTACAACACGTCATCTGGAGTCATCCTAAAGCCATAATATACCAAGGCTGCCATGCGGTAGTACCTGAAAACCAGGGTGTGGCACGAGAAGAAAGTCAAAACAACACCAACGAGTTTCATATATTTGTCTTCCAACTGTATTTATACCACACATGAAAGCGGCACGGATCAACGAAGAGAGCAGCTGCAGGATTCCTGTGTGCCTGTTAGTGAGCCGCACGGCTCCTTCCTACCTGCTGTGCACAACGATAGCAGCTTTAGGCATCCCAGTGGTTCCCGACGTGTAGATGTAGAACAGGCGATCTGAAAAAAGAGAGCAGGGTGAGAGTGAGACAACTTAAATGTCAATAACTCAATGTGCTACGACTGGTTCGGTCATGCACTCAGGGGCGTACAAATTAAAGCTCTGTTATGTTCAAATGTGTTACTCTGTTTTTAAATACATTTTGCTGAATGCTCACTTCTGTGCAGGAGTGTAAATGCTTGGCTTCGATCCGTAATTACAGGCCTATTCACAGTTTTGATTGAAAGCTCATTTTGAATAGGTTACAACACTGATGCATAGAGGCAGAATAAAGCAGAATGCATTATTAACGATTGTAAAATGACACCAACAAGTCCCTTTTTTTCTCTGGGATAGTGCAATGTGTAGGCAAAGTGGTCAATGCTTAGACAGCACCATCCAGTCCAAACCCAAACTCCAACATCCAGATGTGTACAAACTGGCTTTAGATTCAGTTGAGGGTTCCTTGGCCATGAACCACTTGTGTTTGGATTTTGCTTTCCTGCTCACAACCGATTTTAAATAAACTCAAACCACTAAAACAGAAGAAATACACGTCTGAGCTCCGAGTTACAGCCAGAGATCTGGATTATGGCGGCTACGTGCTACCTTAATCCATATACATATTTCAAACCTCTTCACTGAGTTGTTTGTCATTTGTATATCAGCGGAGTGGGTGCCAAGTCTTGCCAAGTGTGAACATGAACAAAGGTCACAGGTTTTTATTGCTGCAGCAGTCAGTGATTAGATATAGTGTTCAAGAGCAGGAGTGAGTGAGCAGGTTTGTCCTTACGTCAACCGAAGCTTTCAAGAGAGATTGTACAGTATGCCCTAGAGATTGTAAAGCCCTCAGAGGCAAATGTGTGATACACAAGTATGGTTTACATGACTTGACTGTTAATATCTTGGATTCAATTCGTCCTCCTTTAACCCATGCACTGCAGTTGCCTTAGAAACAAGAAACCAATATACTCTCTGGTGATGAGTCATCGGTAATTCCAAATAACTATAACAGCAAAAACAGTGGCAAATTCTGGTTGATCATAATGTCTGTATTACTTTGGTTAGAGTAAGTACTGAACTTGTAATTGAAACATTTGTATTACTTATGACCAGGACATCTGTTGTTTTTTGCTAAATTATTATCATTACACCACAGAAAACATCACCTAAAATGACTCCCAAAAGCATCTGTAAAATGTATTTTTGTTTGTTTGTTCTTGGAACGATGAACATTGTTGGTAAACTCGGATCCAGATTTGTTCACGGCCTTACCTGTGAAGCAGCGTTGCGGCCGGCTTGGCAGGTGAGACGGGGCGTTATCCAGCAGGGGCTCTAGGCACTCGGTTCCCTGTGGGACTTGTTTGGGGTCCCAGTCTCCTGAACAGAACATCTGCACCGTTTTCCCCATTAAACTGTGGACCTCAGACACCGCTGTGAGGGTAACAGAAACACATTAAAGTAGTGTTAATACATTTCGCTGTCCCAAATTACAAGAGGACTTCATGTGGCACAACATTTAAGCGCCACAGCAGACAAGGGGAAAAAGGAGGTACATGGCAGAGTAACAAGGGACAGAGTAGGTTGAAATAACTTGGGGAGTCAGGTGGAAGGTGAAGGAGAGGAGAAAGGTGCAGTGGGACAAAAGGGAATGAGAGTATCAATATGTTAGAAGGGAGCAGCAAACAGCTCCCATACTTCCCCCTGTAAAAAGAGTGTATCTTAATCTAAAAGCCTTAAGTCATGCTGGCTCAGTATTAATGCTACTTGCTTGACTTTGGCCTGCTCTGTAGCAAAGACTCTGCATTCCCTATTACTTAAAAAGGTATAAAGCACATGACAAGTCCACGATCCAATGCAAACACTGTTCCATCAATCCCGGGATGAACAGCTCAAACCTCATTCACTCTTTATAGCTGTGGAGATCGGGGCTTTTTTAGATTGGGCAGGGACCCAAAAGAGGGTGATGAGGAGATTGAAATAGAGCCCTAATTTATTTTTGACCATTCAACTTTCATATCGTTAGTGTGTCCCAAGTCTAAGCAATATAATAACACACCGCAGGTTTGTATATTAGACATTAGAACAAGTAATTTGTTCTGTTTGTACTTAATGAAACCTCCAAAATACACACATCTGATCATGTAATGTTTGATTTCAATCTTAAATCGAATTTGTTTATTTATTATTCAATGCAACAAATATAAGGTCCAGACCAGTACCAAAAGGAAAACATAGGGATATAGATAGTGAACGTTTGAGCTGCCTTTTCAGTCTACAGTCCTGGCTACAGACTCTGTTCTGCTGGTAGTTAGGATTTTATTGACCGCTTTGTTTCATTTTAGAAGGAAGAACATGAACATAGTTGGGATGGCATTCATCTCTCCAGACATGGGGGTGAAGCAATTTGTATCAAATGTGAGGAAATCCTAATTTATCTTACTGACATATTTCTCTCTAGGTCACTATGCCAGATAGTGTGCCGATCACCAACCATTGGGACTAAAATAAATATTTCAGGAAATCCACAGACAATACATTGCCAATTATTAAGAATTTGCCTCCTCTGATTTCCAGATCTGCTCTTCCATTGACACCAATGAGATATCATTGGTTTGGTTTTAACACCACCTGTTCAGCCATTCCACCATAACCAATACGATGCCGCCATCCTGTCCTCTTGATATCCTTCCCACTCGCTTCTTTGAAGTGCTATACAAACATTTATATATCAAATATTTGTATATGCTGTATGAAATTATTATCCAGTAAAGCTAAATATTTAATTTACATCTGCTACGTTGTCGTTTCAGATGTTTTTCCAGACAGACCATTTATCAGCTCTCTTTCTGACCAACTCAGACCTTGAACCCGGGCAGATTGATGATGGAGGTATTTCTCCAACTCCCTTCTTTCCATTCCATCAACCATTTGAAGCTCCACTGGCTGATATTGAAGAGACACGTCCTCTGAAACCCATCTATCTTTTATGACCTCTGCTCTCTCTCTGCACCACTCACCTCTCTCATCACAGAGGAAACATAACAGCACTCATCAGCAGAAATCAGATCGTAAAGTCCTCCGAGACAATCTTCAGACTTTTGGCCATAAACTTGACAATGTTGCAACTACAACAAACAAAATCTGCCCTAACATATCCTTCAGATGGTTCTCTAATCGCTAACTCTGCACATCCCGCTCCTCAATCCTCCCAGCTCTTACCTTCATTCAGCTCTGAGCCAAACACCACCGCCTTGGCATTGGAGATGGTGACACAGTGGACCAAGGCTTCTAGTCTCAAATTGAAGTTGATAAGAGCGGCCTCTACGCCGATTTTGGCCATGCCGAGCCAGAGGCCCACATACTGGGATCTGTTCTCCATGAAAAGAGCCACCACGTCGCCGTCCTGAAGAAAGAAACAACAAAAGGAGAGTTGTCTTACCGATTGTCATCAACCGATTGACTGAAGTTTATTTATATTTAACGTAAAGGGGCCATGTCATCTTTTTCCCCCAATTCCTTCAGGACTTTTTTGTTTTGTTAGGCCCTACCTTGAAACCCCTTTCCAGCAGCAGGTTGGCCACTCTGTTGGAGTACTCATCCAACTGTCGGAAGGTCCACTTCTCCCCAGTGCCCTCGAAGATCAGTGCCGTCTTGTCCCCGTGGCGGGCCACCGTTTCAGCAAAGATCTTGGGAATGGTGTTCTTCTCTCGGAGGTGGCGTCTGACATTCATCTTCACCTGCAATAGCACACCTGCCGCACTGAAGGAGCAAGAGAAAATATTATTAAAATGGAGAAAACAGACAATTTACAATAACTCTTCCTGGTATGATTCTGTTACAATGTTACAATTCTTGCGGCACAGTCTGTGATGTTGATTTGTGTCACGTCCTCTGCGCACTAAATGCATGAATGGCAGGAAGTTGAACCAGAAACTTAAGATATTCTTTGGACAATGGTCAGCATTAATATAAGGTGTGCATAATTTGTAGCTAAAGGGCCCAAATTTGGAAAAGCACTAGTCATGTCATTCACAGATAAATATTTATTAAATAGCTCATCTACATCTGTAGTTGACCAACTAAGTTCATCTTACTGTGCAAAACGTAACAACACAAGGCATAAAACATTATGACAGAGATACCTGGGTGGGTCACGGGGCAAATTCTGCCTAAATGGAAGGATGTCACTTGATAATTTACATTTATGGTGCAAAGGCACAGATAGCAGGCATACTCCAGAGTACTATATTATTACACAAGCACCATACAAATATACTGAGCCAAGCTACTTCACAGCTACATTGTGGTGGTGATATTTTTTATCATTACACAGGCTTCATGTCGGTCCAGATAACCACAATCTGTTATTATGCTTCAGTCATTAGTACCCTTAGCTGTGTGGAGCTTATTCTGTTGCAACAGAGGAGCTGTACTTTGAAATTATCATCTTTCTCTCAAGATACTTTTTTCAGTAGTTGGAAAAGTGACTTTCAGTTAGATCTTTAATAAATCTGATATTATTTAATTGTGCTAAATTCTTCTTTCTTTATTTACATTCATAAGTTTCATATTGTAAACAGAGGCTTTGCACCAACTAAACCACTCAGTGACAATCACAGCTACTAGCAGGGACAGAAATATGAATACTGGAGGTTGGGTTAGCTAACAAAGGCATTAAGGTGTGAACAATACTGCTTCTTAAGGAGGAAATACCTAAGGCTTGTCACAGTACAATACTAAATAGGAATATATGAGTCACTGGGGACAGGGTGACTTGCATGCTTTGCCAGGCTCAGATGTGGTCCATTTTTAACCTTGGGGCTTCAGCCATTATCAACATATAAATAATTACAACGCTATCAGAACTGCACTCGGAGTGAGGGAGGGTTGTTTGCATATGAGCAAGTGCACACAACTAGGTAGCTGAAGCTAGTAACAGGCCTAAAGAAGAGGACACATACTTATGGCAAGCTCTTATTTTGAAAATTCAGCAAAATGCCTTTGACATACAGCCTTGGAAACTGTGATTTCCAACTCTCTAACCAATGAGAAAGCAGAGGCCATTTGTTTGTACACAGTGGGTCACAGAAGCACCGATTACTTCTGGTTTGGTCAGTTTGGCTTATAAGTCACGGAGAGGTCATTAACACTTTTACAATTTCCTGTTTTACCATGACTGGAGCTACAGAAGAAAAGAGGAAGTTAATCACAAACCAATTGCTATGGTAACCTCCAAATGTAAATATTGGCTCTAGGCAAGACAGTTAAAAGATCTGCTCTTTCCCATTCCTCTCTATTGTCCTTTGTCCTTCAGTTCAGGCTACCTGCCATGTCAGGTTCTGAAACATGCACAACAGGAGTATGCAGCTTGTGGCTAACACTGGCTGTAAAAGCAGGAAAAGAAGAGCCTCCGGTCTTTTGAATGAACACTGTTGGAATAATAACCCATTTTATAAAGAAGCCATGATTCACCGAATTGTTCTTAACAGTACATTGAGACAATGATAGGACTACAGATACGTAGTGTAGCGACACTGCACTATATTTTGGCTGTGGCTCCCTTTAGATAGTAGGACAAAGTGAATCAATAGCAATGATTGTAAATGCTTGAAAGAAAAAAACATTCAAATGACATGAATGTTCTAGGTTTCATTAACACGTGAAGCGTGCCAACACATACACAAAATCCCCAATGCTTACTGTAAGTCTCTGCCAATGGTTTTGGCAAAAATCTGCAGGAAGCTCCATCCTCCGCTTCCCAGGTAGAAGATCAGGACGGCTGGGAGAACCTGGTACCAAGGCAAGCCCACCAGCAGCCTAAACACGAACAGCAGGGCTGTGGAACACGCTAGACGCATCATCCTGAAAGAATGCACAAGCACGTATAAACATATACACACACACACACAGATAATGGCTGCAGACTGCAGCAACAGTTCAGACCAAACATCAGTTCAGTAGCAGAAAGGTTACATGTGATTAAGGAAAGCAAAGAACACAGATTTTGAACATTCCCCCGATAGTATTTAAGGAAACCACTTCAAGAATGTAATCTATGATTTTGGTTAGACATCCTGTGCCCAAATGAATCAACCGACTCTGCGAGCTGGCAATAAATGAGGATAAATGATTATACTGTATATTGTCATGCAAGTGTTCACACACACATGTAAAACAAAATGCATTTTGTCTCACATGGGCAGAATAAAACGGAGAAAAACCCTGAGTTTTATTTTCTCTTGCAGTTGAATAAAACCCAAGGCTACGGAGACCTTGGGGAAGTCCTAACTCAACGCAAAGTGTCTATAGTGCCGGCTGAGAGCAGCAGAGGACAGAGTGTGTTGACATTTGTGTTCAGTGCCACCTGATAGCTAGGAAGATGATCCTAAAGCAGTACACGATAGGCTTACATAGGCTGCTGCATATTATATATTCATTACCCTATAGAGAAAAAAATAAATAAACTGCAGGTTTGTAATTTCACAACAACTGAGCATATTTGAAAGATATCCGTTTTATGGCTGAAGGCCTGTAGCTCTTTCTCGCGAGCCAAGAAGCTGACTGGATATGTATCTGCTGTCTCCCTGCATGAGGCTGTAATGATGATGATGGCTATATCATAGCGATTCAATATGTCTGCTGCTATAATAGAGACCAGCGCTCTGTGTTACAACACTATTATTCTGAATGTACCACGGATCAACATGATGGCATTTTTGTTTGTTTTTTACAATTTTAGGGAAAATTATGAATTGAGAGCGCTGTAACAAAAAAAAAAAAAAAAAAAAAGCTTCATCATTCGCCGCCGCTACACCCGGAAATCCAAGAAGCGCGTAGCATCATATTGCGGTAGTGGATGGGGGAAATGATAGCGAGGCTCAACCCACTGTTGGTTAGACTACGCCTCGCTAACCATGCCATGTGCGCGTTCAGTGCCAGGGCCGTGAACAGTTATTGGACAATATTCATCGTGCTATACCTGATGTAGTTTATTGTGGGCACAGGCGCGCCTGGGAAGCAGGATGCGCACCATATTGCGCGCATCGGCTTAGATCGGAAGCGGATGGACAAGCGCGACAGCAGCCTCTTTTAGGGAGACGATGCATGCTAAAATATGCAGTCCACGTTTCACATATATTACCTCTCATGGACCGAGACCTGCCCGATATTAAAGTGTCGCGCCACCTCCCGAGTCCCGTGAGTGGGTCGATCGCCCACAAGGTTGACAGAGGACAATAGTCACAGCTCGCTCCCTTTCTCCTAGCGCACACAATAACCAGAGCCATCCGTTGAAGTTGAACATCGCGGGGGCGCACGGTCAGCTCGGTCTGTGGCTGGGGTGATCGGTTTCTCATTTGCTTACATACCTTGCACCCCCGTCACAGCATGTAGGTGCGCAGAAATCCCAGACGTGAAACCCGTTAGTGTGCGATCTCGACCCTGATCGGCTTACAGGCTAGCCTGGTCGCCCCGTCCGCTCGTCGCCGCTTGACAGAGGCTCACAGAAACGCACGGACAGACAGGCACACACGCACCGGGATCCCCTCCTGCTGTAATACCACAATGAGCTGCTGCTGCCGCTCCGCTCCTCTCCCGTGCGTCGCGAGTCAAATTCGCCTGACTGTGCGCGTCGACATTGACCCCGCAATCATCATCCGCTCATTGTCACAATTATTGATATAATATCTGGGATCATTGTAGCCGATAAGCTCGCTAGCAAGCGCAATTCAAATGACCTTATAATTTTCTTAGCTGCGCCCGCCCACCGCCGTCAGCAACCCATCAGGAATAAGCGCTGACGGACAGGTGCCTGGGCCAATCGGGGGGTGGTGGTGATTCTGCACACATCCCATCCAGTAGGGGCGGGGTCTGCGGCTGTGGTGAAGAGGAAATGCGGTGCGGCCCTGCCTGCTCTCGCCGACTGAAAGCGAGATCGGTTTCTACCCGGTAGTGACAAGGAGCCTGATGCGGATCCGTGGGGCTTAAATAGGTTGCGCTGCACTGTCATTCATCACTCCGCGCCCGGCCAACATGTGCTTTGAATGCGCATCCGTTAACTGAACCGGACCCGCGGAAGATCGAGGAATGAGAAAGAACAGGGTGTCAAACAATAGCCTGTTCCTCTCTTGTAGGCGCCACCCAAGATCTACACTAAAAACCCACCAGTTTGCAGGTTTTGCCTGCAACCGAACGCTACATCAGCTGATTGCTTGAATTGAAAAGCTCTAGCATATCCGTGCAAACGAAAACCTGCAGTTGTCTTTGCGCTCACAAGGTTAAAAATACTGTGGGTGTAGCTCACAATTATAATCATCTTACTGTACGTTTAAACGTACAGTAAGATGATTATAATTGTGCCACATAAGTCAGTGGCAGTAAAAAAAATGGCCCCAACCACATACAAAATGACATAAGGTATATTAACAAAATTGCCTTGCCGATTATGCAAAAAACTGAGTCAAATTCCTTGTATGTGCAAAAATATGGCAAATAAAAAGGTGATTGTGATTACTTCTAAGCAGAGAATAGTCTTGTAGCACACGCCGACGCAATAGAATAACTTAGGCCTAGTTTGAATGACAGCCGGAGGCTGACATTTCACACAGCGTTCATAATGTCATGGAAGACATTATTACGGAACATTGCAAAAGACATACTGTAAAAAGAGTGCTGTAAGACACTGCCGCAGGTCAAACGAGGTTACTTCCCTAATGATCTATTCGAAAGAGCCCAAATGAATGGGGATACAATTATTTCTAATTTCTATTTTCAAATAGTTGACTGCATTTTCAACAATACCAAAGTCTTGTCACATAAAAGTCAAAGCTTGACATTTATCTGGTTTCAACTGATACACGAACACACTGTATATACCACACTGACCCCAGTATGTGAGATGTTAACTGAGTGTTAGGCAATTCACAAATCAGGATAGGGAAAAAATAGGATGAGCTTTGACCTGCAAATGACTCTCTTGCCACCATTCACTCTCACAATTTCACATGAAGGAACAGACTCGCAAACACAGCATCAGTCTGCTATCAGTCCAAGAAGACACATTATCAGTGGTTCTCAGACAGACAAGGGCACGCCCAGTATATTATGCTGCTCGCCTCGGTTGTCTGTTCAGTACTCTAAAAATGTCTTGCAAGCACAGCAGCATTATGGAGTTTTTTCTTTTTTAAATACAGGAAGCAAATACCCAACCATTTCTCTTTAGTTGAACTTCAGATGGTACAGTGGAGACAGACAGGAAACTGAAAAGGAGTGTGATAGTTACCTAACATCCTTTTCCCCTCCAGTAGAACTGTGGGTGGTGATGAACATGACCTTATGCGGGATGTTAGCAAACTAACGGGTCATATTTTGGGTTGAATTCAGCAGACAGGCGTGTTATAAAAGAGGAGACTATCAAAATAAGCTAAATGTCCTTTTTACCATTTCTTGTTACTTAAATTCCACAAAATGAATGCTATAACTATGATGCGTCCAACTCAATTTCCATAGTGGACAATGAGGTGACAATGCAAATGGGAACATGGTGTCTGTGGTGGTCTGATAGACTTATTTATTACATGTTATCGTCAGCTTACAAAGCATCATGTACCAACAGCTAGTGCATTTCATTTTACACTTTAAGATGACACTCCAGCATTCCCTCTTTTTTTGGTAATAACCAACCAGAGTCAGAAAAGTAATAAACACTCATGCAGCCATCATCCAAACTCTAGTTACATAAACTCAAATTTCAAAACAGAACAAAAAAGCCTGAAGTTAATGGCCTCTTAAATATCACGTGTGCAGGCAGGGCCTGCTTCATTCTCCTCGTGTTATACTCATTCTCACTTTAGAAATCTCACTCGGTAAAGAGGTGAAGACTAAATCACCACGAAAATGGGCGAACCTGTGTCTTTAGTCCAAATCAATCCTCCCATCTAAAAAGGTTCTTTGGTCTTTTCTCTCCTTGGTCTGAGGAACCATCCTCACCAGTCATTTCATAGGTTTTGTTTTCAGTCATCCAACTCCAGACCAAAGTGGCTGTAGAGATCTCGTGTGGTGGCCCCCCTCACAGCAGCTGCAAGATATAGCAAAGTAAGGGTCAGGCTCCTTCAGCGGATTACAGGGTCAACTCCCTCTAGTGCTGACACACACACCAGTTGGCTTGCACTGTTTTGTACAGGGATGAACAAATCTGTAGCATTTGTTGCTACAGCATGATAATATAAGGCACTGCTTGATGATGATAAGCGATAGCTCAGCCCTAAAGTGTTGCAACAGTTTGTCCTTTGCTTAATCAAATCGTATTCATTTGGTGGGTGTGCACATGCGGTGCTGTTGAAGTAAGGGGGTTTGAAGGCCGGGAGCTACAGAGAGGTTCATTGTTTGATGTTTTGTCAATCATCGTTGGGCCTGCGGGGCAACACTCGGGGCTTCGCTGGGTTACGGTACTGAAGGGTTTCCGTTCAAAATTGTACTTTTTCGGTCTCTTTTCTTTCGCTAACATTGTTAATGTCAGACCACAGTGTCAAATTAATAGATTGTTATATTCATTTACTGTATATAGGCAAAACTATTGTTTATAAACAGTAGAATCTGTCAGGATAAACTGTCAACAACTAATCATTTAAAATCAACACTTTTACTGTTTATTCAAAATACGTTTGTTTTCACCACAAACTGAAAATGTAAATACAAAAACTTCATTTTATCACCTTATCCACAAAATCAACCTTTTCGACACTTACTCTTGATAAGGTAAGTCTACATTTATATATTTTATGTATTACATGAATTGCAATGGCAAATTTATCATCAGGGAAACTCCTGCATTAAATAAATAGCTCCAAACGTCTGAAAATGTACATTTAGAAGATTTGTTGGGAGATGTGACAATAGCTTTAATGCCTGAGAGACAAAGGGACAGTTGTCTTGGGGGGGGTACTGCCTCCTCTCTCACTCTTCAGACTGCCCATCTCCTCCCTCTCAGAATAAAGTCATACAACAGCAAGTGTTTAGTGTACACTCTTTGTGAAAGTGTGTGTGTGTGTGTGTGTGTGTGTGTGAAAGAGAAAGAACACGATGGGGGGGGGGGGAGATAGAGGATGATAGCAAGTGTTTGTATTTGACAGTTTGTGAGTGTATGCATGCGTCTGCAAGACAGACAGAGATTGTAATTGTGTGTGTGTGTGTGTGTGTGTGAGAGAGGGATGTGAAAGACTGCCATTGTGACAGAGGGGAAACGCCACCTCCATTCACTAAGAGGTCATTATCATCCCGACTCCTCTGCACTGTACTGACCCACAATTTAAGAGATGGCAAGCGTTAAACTCACAATATAGATATAAAACCAGATAGCACAGTTTTTAATTAACAGACAACGGAAGTGGGAGATAAGTGACATTAAAGCATCTAAGGAATGTACGCCTGATCGGTGTTGTTCATGTGTTCATATTCCACAAAGACCAGCAGACTAAATCAGAGGATGTCCAGATGTTATTTGACACCACACAAACAAGCATGTGCATGTAAAAGTAGGCAAAAAGTCATGTTTGTTATGATATGCACACAGACCATAATGGGACTTGGCTATGATTCACCAAAACCTCCCTTAACAAAAGCATAATGTGTGAACTCCACACTTCCTCACCCTGATGCAGCTGCAACACATGCACACAAATATATTTTAAAAGACACACAGACTTACACTCATTGCAGCCTGTTGACTTATACTAGTGTGGGCCCAGACAGACACATCTGCAGCATCACAGGAGTTATGACAAAAGTTGTCTGGGGGAAGATGAGGTGTCAAAACAACTTTCTGATCTCTCCGAGAAAGGAATCAGTGACTGGAGTAAAAGCGATTGTTAATTATAGCACCAAAACTGATGCAATTTCAACAATATTAATATTTATGTCATCATATCATGTATGACAACAACGCTTATTAATATTAGCCAACATATTACTGGACACAGAACATGAAAGAACTCCGAGTGGCTTTGAGATAGAGTGTTAATCTAATGAAATGAAGGTTTTATAGGCAGGCCAATGGAATCTTTATGTCAACAGAATCAGCGTTGTGGGATTAAACACTGTCCGAAGTTAAACCTGGCTCTGGTTTATGATTAAGGCCTCGGAGGGAAACAGAGACACTGCTCTGTTGCCCTCTGGTGGCTGGTTGTGTAACAACTTGACAACACTTCCCCTACAAGCAATACACAATCAGATAACAGCTTATTCAAATGTTCCTTTAATGATTTACTTTTAAATAACACTTTTAAAGTACACTCGCATTCATTTTCTCCACAGATATATTTCATTGGTGCGTACCCATCAAAATACCACGATGTATTAGACTGTGACAAACCGTGTATGACCGTGTAGTGAACACGATGTTGTCTTTGTTCATTATTTACATTCTTCTCAGCAACTTAAGTAGTTTTAAGGATGTGATGACACCTTTGTACAGTTTGTTTTCTTTGGTCCGAATCACACCAGAAAAAAAAAAAAAAAAAAGAGACATATTGTTGTATGTCTCATCTAGTCTGTTCAGTGTTCACACTGCCGTATCTTTAATGAGCCAAGAGGTTTAAAACATGACTCAACTCATTCAACAGACAGATTTGGGTAGCTGTCATCTCGCAACACTCGGGTGTGGAGAGTCTGCAAAAGAAATAGTTGAAAACGTCTCACACGATCAACTAGACTTAATCTGTCATGTGTATAAAAAAAAGCCCACTACTAACAGAGGGAGGGGAGGATGCATCCTGTAAATGGCTGCTACATTCAGCAGACGAGTTGCGTGTATGCTGTGGGTGGTTCATGTTGCTGTCATACCGTACATTGTCCACGCCTCATTAGACTCATTCCTACACTCCCCATGTGACCGTGCATCAGAGATTAGGACGTCATTGTGGGAGTGAAAGCTCACAATAGGGTTGAATGAATCAAGCCATAAAGGATCAGCGTGAAAGTTAATGGCAAAAGCTATCCATAAGCATATCATTTATAATCACTGTCCAGAATCGATTTTTGGACTTAATTCTACTGTTATGGTTTATATGCTGCTAAAAACTAGTGAATTCAAATGTACAAGCATTTCTCTTACCAATACGGCCCAGGAGTGACTGTCCAATGTCTTTGATGTCATTGTATTCATGCAGCATATCAATGTGATGCTCCAGCTCCTCTACTCTGCATCCACTGGAGAAACACACACACACACACACACACACACACACACACACACACACACACAATGTGCAAATGCTCATGCAGAGGCGCACAAACGCACACACAATACAAAGAACTTAAAAAAAACAAAAACATATCAGATTAACAAAACTATGCACAGGCAAGAAGAGTGCACATGCATTATGGGTAATTCGCAGGATTATAGCGGGGATCAACACTATTGATTCACATATTTACATACTTAACCTTCAGCATACAAAGGCTAACATGCAAGAAGACAAAAGCACACAGCTGTACTCACTCAGCCTCCAGCTGTGCTATCTCTGTGTCCAGCTGCTCTCTTCTTCTCTGCAGCTCAGCTACCTCCTCTGCAGGGCTAACTTTAGCACTCTCTGTCACTTGAAGCTGTCAGGTGCAAAACAGGCAACCATGAGGCTGGGATGCACATGGATGTATGCACATGTGTGTGTGTTTTAGAGGGGGTTAACTTACAGGTGATTTGAAGTTGGAGTGTACTCTCTTAAACTGTGAGGAGGGAGTTCTAGGGAGAGAGGGAAGGGAACTATTGTTAAAGATAGGATGTGTTAAACTTGAGGAGACAATGTATAAAGAATAAGCAATGCCTTAAATGAATGGTATGCCCGTTGCTATCAGCTAACGTTAGCTGTTAGTGTAAGAAGCTAACGTCACCTTTTCAGTGCTCCTCTCTTCAAGTCGTTCCCCTCCGGTGTTGAAACGTGACTACAGTGAGTTTCTTCAGACTGCTCTGTGTCCATAATGTCTTTATTGTAAAAGTAAGTGTGGTATAGTTATAGTAGGAGCAGCAAATGGTCACCGAGGAAAGTAGGAAGTTCGCAATTCGCGGCTGATGGTAAACAGACTCGTGATTGGTTCTTAAAACCGAGAGGCGGGACTTTGATAGATCCACTCTTCTCGCGAGAGTTTTGGGAGACTTTACAATATTTGCATATTTAACTGATATTAACGCGAGTTCGTTCCTTCTGACACTTCTCAAACTATTAAACACTATCACTGTCCATAAACAACCAACATTTAATTGTAGTTGTATGCATAGTAATGCATCTATGTAGTTAAGAATCTGGCCTCCTGTCTTCTACCTACAGTCAATTTAGAAAAGTGGGCTAAATGCCGTTTTCGTTAACATTCACAGATCCCTCTGTATGTTATATAATTACTCATCAGCACGAATAATCATATCAAATGATTGCCAAAATAAATTATATCGGCTACAAAATCAATGGTCCTATTATATGGCTATTTGACACCTAAATAACTCACAATATAGACTAATTTGTGAACATTTCAATGAAGTTTCATTAGTAAGGAATATCCGTCTTCAAGCTAAACTTAAGAGGGCTTGTGTGTCTAATTATTACAACCAGAGTCGAATCATGCGTTTGACTGGGATGTGTCAACCACGCCACTATTCTCATGACACCACCAGATGGCGACAAATTACAGTTTAAATTGACTCTTCTATTTCTGCCTTCAAAACATCTCACTGTTTATTTCCCTCACAACATACATTAGTCTCCCATTCTCTCTCTCTGCGTGTCTGAAACAACCCACTCCCTTGTTGACTAAGAAAAAGCTGTATAACCTGAAGGACATGTTATGGCATATGTTCATGTGAACATCTATACTGCTTCTCTGAATTGCTCAGGTGCCACTCAGACTCATTCAAAGCCACCAGCGGTCTAAATCTAAATCGGTGGTGGATTTAAAAAAGCAAAAGGTCACGTTCAATCCACAAACACAGATGCACACACATTTTTCCAGCACATATGCACCAGTACAGTTCACAGGGAAAGCACCAAAGGAAGAGGAACACAGCAACAGATTTAGCTCTTAAAACACACAGAGAGGGAGATACAGGGCTCATAGAGACAAGAACAGAGTGAGAATGAAAGGCAGCCAGAATGTGCATCCAGGGGAGTCGGTGTTGTGGGTGTGGAGGACATGAAATTGAGTCCATTCTGTGTTGTGTCCTCAGGATTCATTGCTTATTTATTAGTTGTTATACAGAGGCAGAGAGGGTCTGCAATGAAAAATTCAGACAGGAGGCATGGCCTTTTCTCCTTTTAGAAATCACAAGATTACACACACTGGGCAGTAATGGCTCCTGCACGCAGTCATGTGTGTGTGTGTGTGTGTGTGTGACAGAGAGAGGGAGAGATCTGTGGACGATGTCTATTTCTCCACAAATCTGACACAGCATTATGCATCCATGTGTGTGTGTGTGTGTTGCATTTTCTGAATAGCTGCTTTAGATCTCAGGCTTTTGTTAATTACGGACACATATATACATTTGTGAGCGCAGCAAATGTCACATCTGCTGTTATTGTTAATGTGAGCAAGTGTACTTTGGTCTTTAGTCTGAGGAAAGTGCTCCTTCCAAATGTGCTACCAACCTCTCAAAGCTTGGACTCACTGCCTGTGTTTATTTTAGGCAGTAATGTCCATATTGGTGGAAAGGGGTCTCAGGAACGCTGAGATAAAGGACTTAAGTACTGGCAAGGGATGTTTTGTATCCTCGTTATGCTCAAGAACACTGCTGTATGCTTTATACAAACATAATTAGAAGTAGTAGAAGGGTGCAGGTGGATGAGTGAATTATTTGTTTTTATGACAGTCTGACTTGTCATAGAAGGGAAAGCACAGGTGTTGCTAATAACATTAATTATGGATCAGTTGTACTCAAGTGTCCCAGTAAGTCATGACAGTGTGACAGTGAGACAGCATGCACCGTACCAGAACCCCGAGTGTGAAGCACCTAAAGGGAGTTCAGCCATCATTCATTTAGTTTTTGTGCTTTTCGTACTGTGACATGTCAAAATGTCTTGTCTTTTGTGTTTAGAGCAGCTCATTCTTCATTGAATTCATGTTTGCATTCAGAATTTTTTATTTTTTTAAATCTTAACTTTAGGTCCATTTTCTAGCTTTTTATGAGCAAACTCCAGCCATTGAGGAAGCCTGTTAGATGTGATTGGCTTGTCTGGAAAATGGTACATTGAGGTTTGCCTCTGGTTTTGTTTCCAAGGTGACGAATGAACTTTCATGCTCCACACATTTGTATTTTTTTGGCCTTGTTCCTTTCGATTGTGTGTTTTTTTGTTTGTGTTTTTTGCCCAAAATCCACACAGAAGTAAGAAAGAAAACAACCACAATTTTACAGACGTCTCTAAACTTCAAGGAAATCAATTCATCTTTCACAATCTGAAGAATTTGAAATGAGTGCATAAGATGAAGGAGGTGGAAGAGGAGGCGGTGAGAAAAGTATAGTATGAGAAAAATGTGTGCAGGAGAGGAGCAAGGAATGGTAATCAGAGAAGGGAACAGGACAAGAGATTGGAACAGCGGGACAAGGAGAGGAAAGGAGGAAAGGGGGCAGGAAGCTTTGGCTTGTAATGTTGGTTGGAAGGCCTCATATCTACCATGTTCATAATTCATGGCCACTCCTCTGTACGGCATCTAAATTCCACTGCTGGGGAATTATGACCAGACACCACACACACTCACACACACACACACACACACACACACACACACACACACACACACACTTGTACTAGAGAGTTAGAGTCACCGGGTGAGAGAGAGTGAGCACGCTGCTGCAGGATGAGGGGTAGATGAGGGGGATGATTCAAAGCATGTCATAAAACATCGATACACCTCTAAAAGCCGAGCTATATGAGCTCTGCTTACACTGGAGGCGATTAGGCCTCTAAATAATTCACAAAGCATGCACAAGCGCTTACTCACACAAATACAGGACAAACTTTTATGCAAACAAATACAGAAACAGATACAAAACACACACCTCCACATACAAATGTATACTCTATGCTGTGCACCAGTACAAATCATCCATCACATTCTGGAGGGTTTGCTGGAGTGAACTTATGGGGAGAGATTGGTGTTTATATTATCTTTTCAGACGCACCCAGAGCCTTGGTGAAGGACTCTGTGATAGAAAGCGGCTGATAGATTGTGAGGCTTTTTTGTAGTTATGAGGCAGACTCTTGCTGAGCTGGACAGTGTCAGCCGTGATGGAAGGATGCTGCCACAAACCTCCAACCTCCCTTTCACAACAACATCTCAATCAAAAACAGTATTGATTCCCACGTCAGGTGTTGGTCAGTGACTGAATGTTACAGATGCCTTTACTTTTTGACAGAGCAATGAAACAAAGCAGTTGTCTCTGAGCCAGGCTACAGTATATGCTAAATGCGTTCTAGACCTCACACTGTGACGTTATCGGACAAGTAGTGGCATTACATGTAAATTATGGTGACTGTAAAGAGAATAAATAAATACATTTGCAGCCATTGCAGACGGTAATTCCCTGTTACAATGCAATTCATGTAGGAATAAATGAGAGTGTGAATGTAGCCACATCACAGATAATCCATCATAATGAGGAAGGTTTTTTTCATGTGCGATGCAGTGCCGTTGTATTAATGCCGTCACAAAATGGCTATTCATGTCTGTGCCAGGGAGGCCTCGGTTTGATATCAGCTCCTATACGCCTCCATCTGTCTGTGTGTTCGGTGGTATGTGCTATTTCTCATTCATCAGCTCTGACTCATCCTTCTAATAACCAACTCGATTTCCTCTCTGAAAGAGTTTTCAGTTGTTTTCCTATTGTGTGATTAGTCTGCTTGCCTCTCTGACTCACTCAGGTTCATCGTCAGAATAAAGCTTCACATTTTTCGTCGGATGACTTTGCATTGTGGCTATCATCTCCTCGCTTCTGACTGTCAGGTTGGTTTATCATCACACTTATGGCATGCCATTCTTGTTTCTTAGCCGTCCCGTTCAAATATGTCTGCTGTCACGCTGCTCACCTCGTCACCTGCAGGGCTGACTGCATCTGGGCGTAAACAGACCTAACCGCTGTTGCTGTGGTTAGAGGTTTGTCAGGCTTCACTTTTCTATATGTTACAGTATGTCTAATGTTTGACCTTTAACATGAAGTAAAAAAACAGATTTCTCTCTGAGACATATTTACACCTGTATGCTTTCGGGGAATAATTTTTGGCTGCCGCTAGGCAATAACAATAATCTTCCCTCTGTGAGTTGAGATGATGAACAGATGTTGGTTTACTACCTTCATTAACAACAAATAGCCAACATATGTGCCAAGCAAAACCGAGTTTAATTGCTTTTCAATATAGGACGGGCCATTTTTTCATTTCATTTATAAATCAGCTCATGGTGCAATATGGTCCTACTCTCTGGTGTTCTCTACTACATGAACATAAGTCTGCTACAACAGTGTCGTCTTCAGACTCAAACTCTTATTTTGAATCAGTAATTGATCCCTTTTTAATAATATTAATACCTTCTTATCTTATTCCCTTTTAATTGTAATATCTTCTCATCTTATACGTTTGTATGACTTTTCCAAACAAACCTGCTTTGATCAGTAAACCTAATGGTCTAAATCCCACTTTCATTCCTGTGGCCTACACAAAAAAAGCACAACTTGTATTTTCTTGCAGGACTCTGCATGGCTCTGCTGTTTGTGGAGTGGGGCTATCGGATATTTACACTGCGTTCAGCAGTTCACTAAATAAGATAATCCAGGATGATGCACCATGCTTTTGGTTGAGTCCACTGCTGGTCCTGTGGAGTTCTGCTCAGGCACATTCTCATTACAGAAAACGTCCATTGATAAACCTTTAAATCAAGAGGCACTTCATATGAAAGTATACGACGCAAACATCTTTTTAAATGGGTAAGTTTCTTGAATTGAACGAATGACTCCATGGCTTGTCATTAACAAACCTTTGTGTGTGTGTGTGTGTGTATGAGCCCCAAGAAAACTGTAATCAACATTTAGTTTTGGTGAAATTAACAACAACAAGAAAACAGATCAGAAGGATTTTCACACCATTTTATTAGCAACAATGTATCTGTTAGTTATATATATTAGAAACAAGGACAGAAACATTTCTGCTGTACTGGACTTAGTCTGAAAAACCAGCTGGATCATAAAAGAAAGCAAGTAATTAAAATACTGTTGGGAAAAAAAGCAACACTGCATTTAAATATACACTTGTAATAATATGAATAACTATAATAATACATTTCTCTAAGAATTCTTTATGGCACAAAATTTCCTGTGCAACTGTCACATCTGTTTAAAGGTAAAAGCAAAGCATTGAGAACTGTGTGTGTGTGTGTGTGTGTTACTCATGTTGTGGGTACATAAATCTGTTACAGTCACATTGTGGGGACTCATCTTCCCTTTGGGGACAAAATTCATCTCCCCATAATGTAAATGAGTACATTATAGGGTGAAGACTTGGTTGAAAGTAAGGGTAAAGTTAGGTTCAGGTTAAGATGAGGTTAGGGGTTAGGATTAGGCTGGTAGTGGTTATAGTCAGGGTAAATCTCCAGAAAATGAATGTAAGTCAATGTAAAGTGGAAACACGACAGTATGTGTGTGTGCGCGCATGTATGTCGTAGTGTATTTGCAGGAAAGCACATGTCACAAGAGGAAAAACTTAAAACAAAATCACTCACTGTTTCACCCTTTGGGAATATAAATGAGCGTGATTGCTGATAAAATCAACAGGGAGACAGAAATAGAGATAGAGAGAGGGAGGGAGGCAATCCAAGGGACAATCCAATCAGCTTCAAGCCCCTCACACAACCACACGCATTCCTTCTTGAAATCCAGCAGTGAATAATTTCATTCATTAAATGTGTGTCCTGTGTCCATAAAAAAACCGCCACCGCTCCTCCAGTCAGAAAGTCAGCCCTCCAAAAACAATCCCAAGAAGGAACTCTCCGAGTACCTCAGAGGAAGAGCAAATATTCCTCAGTCCAACGAGTCGGGAGAAGGGAGAGACTGTAGAGTGTATGTTATGGCCCGTTAAATATTTATCGATGTGCCTTTAAAGGTGAATTAATCTTTAGCCCAAGTATCCACATATCAACACATCAGAGACGGCACAATGAATGCAGTGAAGAGTCCACAAATTGAAACTTCAGTGAAGAACTTAAAAGGAATATCTCACTATAAAGTTAAACGTGTTACTCCTCTGACTGCCAACTTGATTCTGTGTTATAACATTTATCAGTAAAATAAACATTTACAAAAAAGGGGGTTGTCCCGTCACCTGGTTGGGTCATTCTTTGCATCAGCATGGATTTAAAGGTAAAGTGGCAAACTAATACAATCCCTTCACCCTTTACAATAAATGTTTCAAATGTTATTGCAACCCACCAATGGGTTCAGTATACATATAGGGGTGACAGGCTGTTTAATTGTATGGAATAAGAGTCATGGTATAGCAACTGATCGAGTTACACACACACGCACACATGCATGCAAGCACAGTCACACGAATGCACGAACCCACCCCCCTTTGGCACCTCGTCCACCCTGCCTTCAAGAACACAGAGGTCTGTCTCTGCTGAAGTGTATAATGTATATACACTTCGTGTTGTCAGCAGGCGCCCAGAGAAACCAGCCTCCCGTCAAACTGGAGACCTATATGAAAGGATGTGGAAAACAAGCAGGGATTTCCATCTTCTGTGAGCCCTTTATGTCATAAAATATCATGACCGCCCGCCTAAGTTAAGTCTGTCTGAAATGTCAGTGGGTGGCAGCTAAAACATGTCATCGCCATCCTCCACTGGTAGTAGTTTTTTTTTTAAATCTCTATAATCTGTGGATGGAGGAACAGACAGATCATCCATCATAGGAGAGGGAAACACTGGACTTCTCTAATCACATTAGCAGCTATGGCAGAGAGAAAATCCCTGCCGATTATGTCATTTTGACATGGCGGGAATCTGTGTATCTTTCAGGCCATGGGTACAAGAGTCCACAGGAAGTAGGGCTACACAAACTTCATCAAACCGTAAAACAAATGCCATTCTTATTGTTACAAAAGAGATATTGGAAAAAAAAAAACTAATAAAGAAGTTCTTGTCATTGGTAACTTCACACTTTTTAAGTACTTTAAACTCTATAGTGGCCCAAGTGTAAGGTCCTGGACCTGAGCATAGTATCTTTGAAAATCCTGTCCTGAGAGCCAACTGATTCCTCCATTCTGTAAGAGGTGACCAGTAGAACGAGACCAGACTAGATCAGACCATACTAGACTGGACTAAGCTGGTCAAGATGACAAAAAGTCAGACTCAAGCCCAGTTCGGAATGGGCCATTCCAGTTCATTTAAGCATGAATTTACACCAGACTCACCCAGCTAAACATCAGTGCTGATGCTACAGCTGCGGGTGAACATGTCCCTCATGGTGACCGACCGGCCAAGGTTTGGCTTGCGGTAGTTTGAAATGTTCACAGGCACTGGCAGGTCCAGCTCCTGCTGCTGGACGCTGCGGTAGCTGATCCGGTCACCTCCGTTCCTCAACCCATCTGGTTGATGGTGGATCTGCGGCTGAGCGGGGGGCTGGAGGTAGAAAGGCAGGTCATAGTGCGTACAGGATGGACAGAAGGTCTGTGAGCGTGTTAGTTTCCTGGCCAGTGGAGGGGTGGAGAAAAGGGCTGGGCCATTGGGGATGGAGGAGGCAGCGGCCGTCGCCGCCACAATGTTGTGATTGGAGTGGACCGGTGGGAGGCGGGACGTTACGGCAAAGTCTGGCTCCTCCTCCTCCGACTCGGACTCTTCCTTCTTGCAGCAATAATACTAGTGGTGGGAGAGAGATGATGCAGAGCAGAGATGAGGTAAAAGGATGGGAGAGAGAGACGGGGAAAATATTAGGTAAAAAGGTTCAGAATTATGTAAATTATAATTGATCAGAGATAGAAGAGGGGAGTTAAAAGCAGGCATAACAGAATGTTTATGAACAATAAAGAGAAAGATAAGAGAAAGGAAGGGACATTTATTACACTGAAATGTCAGCATGGCCCAACACAGCAAAACAAATGCATTGGCAAATTAGTTTACATGCACTATCCGCCCAATGAAGTCGGTGCCAGCCTCTAAATTCTAATAATTATGGTTACCATTTTACAATGCTTGCAACCAGCCAGAGGTTTTGGGTATATTGAGTCGGAGAAAATGTCAAACAACATGCAATATAAAATATATGTAGTGTACATTTATGTACCCACACATTTATCAACAACGTAAGATTTGTCTGGTTTGCACACTAAGCATGCATTCACTCAACAGTCTTTAGAGCGAGGATGTCTCTCATAATCTAACCCCACCTCAGCCTATATTCCCATGAGGTGCTCCTCGACCCACATGACCCTAAACATGGTCATATGTGTGCTACAGTATGACGTCTGTATGAGGTTTCGTCTCTGAGTATTTCTTTTCATCGTGCCAAATTCTCAACAATTACAGTTCAAACAGACTTGTAAACAACAATCCAGTTTTCAGTGGAGAATTTGGAGTTGCTATTTCTGGCCCACAAAATGTAGCCTACAAATTCCTGGCCTCCTGCCAACTACTATGAAGCCATATTTTGTGGATGACTTTTGATTTTTGCTGTGAAATATAAGAATCCCAAGAACTGTAATCACCTCTAATGTTACCTTGGTTTTCAGTTGATCTAGGTTAATATATGTATTGTATCGTGGTTTTATTCTGGTACTTTACAATTTGCCTCTCATTCATCTGTTCACACTTACACATGGATGGCAGCAAGCTATTAGCCTATGACACCCTAGGCTAACCATTGGGAGCAATTTGAAATTCAATGCCATGATCAAGGATACTTCGACACATTGCTATGAGGAGCCACCAACTACCAACTCAGGAATTAAACCTGTTGAGCCCCCGGGATCTGTCTTAGAGTACGTTGTACATTGAATAATCAAGGTGGTGTGATGGACGAATCCCCAAACTGCAGTAAGCATTAATACACAGAGCAGTTATTTTCATCTATAATTCTATTTTTATTTTATGAACAGCGCCTGGCCAAGACCATTGATATGAACATCAGAGCACAACCCCAAAGAAACATGGGCAGCATAATGAGTTTCAAAACACAAAATGATCACGAAACTGAAGTCTGTAACACAACTAATGGGAAACGAAGATCAAAGGCATTGGAAAATATTTATGTGAGTGCAATCTTGGACATTTTATTCTACCAGCCTTGGAATAGACGATTTACCCGAAGTTCCAATTATGATCTGTCCCTAATTTGGTCCCAAAGACCAGGATCAAGAACTACTGACTAACATCCAGTGATTTATTTCTTCATTAATACTACTATGAGCATCTTTTACCAGGTCATAAAATTCTCAATTGAATACTGATGCCTCTATATGACTTACATAAAGTAAACAAGACCATCAGCGAGAAGAGGGTTATTCTAATTCTTTGTCATCGGTGCTACCGGGTCGGATTCCGCGCAAAATCAGAAAATCACGTAGGTTCACCAGAAACTCCTGCAGCGGGGCCCTTGCTGGACCCTCTCAAGGGAAGGGAGGCACGGGAGAACGTTGTTACTACAACGTGATCAATTTAAATGGCCATGGTCAGCATTGAGGAGTCGGGAGGTTCTCTGACAGGATTTACGAGTCTTCCAAAAACGATTTCCACCATTCTCTAATCAGGACGAATCAGACACAGACAAAGAATGCTGCTACACTCATAAACCAATAGTTTTGGTTGAAAGAAAGATCTTGATATCCTTGGTAACTGAACATAAACACAATTTCACATTTTAAAGCAGATATACTTATGACTATCAACAAAATGCTATACTCAATGGCATCCCTTACTTGCAGCTCTGCGGACTTTCACAGGAAAAACAGTCTGTGGCCTCACCTGCAGCCTACAGTAGCACAGTACTGCGATGATAAGGAGTAATATAACTGTAGCTAGAATTCCACCAGTGATGACCACTGTCCCGGCTGTCATTCGAATGGCTCTCCATCAACACCCTGCAGAGAGGAAGAGGAGGGAAGGAGATGAACAGAGAGAGAGAGAGAGAGAGAGAGAGAGAGAGAGAGAGAGAGAGAGAAAAAGAGTAAAGGAGAGTAAGGAATGAGAGTTAAAGGAATGACGGAGGAGAAAGCACACAATTCATCAGCACAGTTGCTTCATTAAGTAGATTATAACTGTGTGTCATCTCAGTGGCGCTTATTGAATTATTAGCAGTTAGGAGACATGTAATAATATCATCCTACAAATGCTGCTCATAACATAGACAGGATCTCAGGCTGGAATGTAGAAAAAGGAAATGTGACAGAGAGGGAAATCAGCGCATAGGGATGGAGAGGGATACGATGAATGGATATGAAATGGAGAGACAAAATGATGGAAGCGATGAAGACGATGGTGTGAGAGATAGACGGGCAGAGGTGAGACAAAAACCAGTGGGCAGATGGAAAGGAAGAGAAGTGGATCAGAGAAAGAGGAGAAAAAGGGAAGATGATAGAGGAAAACAGGCTGTGCTTCCTAACATGCTATTCATGATGTAATCTGCCTTCAAATAATAAGGTGTTTAATATGAAAAATGTAATATAAAAAATATTAGATGGAGTGAAAGAGGTAATGTTGACTTACATTTGTGATAAACAATTTTCATTTAAATGAAGCTTGAACAGGTAATGTCATGTGATTGATAGTGTCATGTGATGCAGAAGACGTATTGCTTGAGTTTACTTCAGTATGAACAGTCTGCTGTTAATGGCATGCTTAAGAGATCATTTAGTTGGCAGTATAGAAGTATAGAATATCAGATGAAGGAGAGAAAAATCATTTTCATTTCTTGCTCAGATTCAACGATGAGCAGATCGAAAAGAAGCAGTAAATTTGAGGTGCTGTGGAAAGTGGACAGGGAGAAAGAGCATGACCTTTATTGCATCGATCAGTGGGAAACATCCAACTGGACAGCTTTGGGTGACCTGTGAACCCTGACCTTACATCAGAGGTCACAACAAAGACAAATGGAGATGTTGACCTGAGAGCTTTGAGTTCATATTCACAAATCTCTGCAGAATTGCATGGCAGACCTACATTTACTGTTCATCTTTTTTATGCGATTGCATTGTTTCTTTTTGTTACTGCAAAGATTGCATGTTTCATTTGTATTTGCATGTCATTTATTCAAGGTAGTGTAGCTGTCCTTTTGTGCGATTCACAAAACCCAAACCATGATCTTCGTGTAATCTTTATGAAACTCACTTATTGTCGATTCAGGTGGTCAGAAATACAGTTTGGTTTTACACACAGATAGAAATGAGTGGGGGTGAATGCTACAGACGTCACGAGAACATTTGCAGCAGGATGATTGACTTGAGACTGAACTGACCTCATTCTCAGGTTATTAGATCAATGCTTCCCTTTAATTACCTCTTTTCAGTCCCTACAGCAGCTGGATTACGGGAAGAAGCCTTGAGCCTAGATTCAATATACATTTTACTCCTGAAAGTAGCATAATCACAAACATTGTAATGTCATTCAAACGGTCAAAAGTAATTATTTTCTCTGTCTTCCCCTTCACTGTAAAGCATTTGAGGCTGTCGCATAACTGAAGAGTTTGAACACACAAAATGTGGTAAAACAATTTTTTACTTTACTTAAAGCAAACAATGACCACTTAGAGTAACTCATACTCACATTATAAAAAGATTATAATGCACTACAACTATGAGAATTAAAATACACTATGATCCTTGCAAAAAAAAGAGTGACCAGCAATTATGAAGTATCATGTAAATTGACCGTATGTCATTATAAAATGCTTTGTATTGTGTTGTGATTGTTATAAAGCATTCTTAATATTTGTGAGAGCACAAGTTCATAATTACTGAAGCATTTCTTGAAAAATCTTGCAAATCAACAATGTCCCACATTTACAGTAACAACCGCAGGAAACAGGTTCTCCAAGGCTTCAATTGCATTTCATGCATCTTATTTTACTTCATATGACCTCCATTCTAGTATTTATTTATATTGCACACTCTAAGGAATCAATTATAGTTATTCTGAACAGTATAATAGTGATATTTAAGTAAAGAATGTTGAGGTTAAGAGTTGAGATGGAACCGTAAACCATGTTGCTTGTTTAATTCAGGCAGAAATGAAATAAATCAATGTTAAAAAGTTGAATTTCCTCCCATCTCATAACTTAACATTGTTTGTGTTGCTGTGCCCTTTTGCCCTCTCGTCTTGCAAGTGTCTGTATCCTTGCACACAGATTTCACCAGACAATAATTAAAAAAAAACAAAACCTTGTCACTCAGTTCCCAGGTTTCGTAACATTCTTATATATTTTGGGAAAACCCTGCGGCCCCTTGACAGATGTGGGTAGAGACCTTTTTTCTCTTCATTACATCCACAATCTGGAAGTGTCATAGGGCCGCACCATCACACTGCATTGTGGATAATTGCCCAAAACCAAAAATAGGACAGCAGGCTTGTTGCTAAGCTATGACTCAATAGTGCAAGCCATTATCAACAGCAAGCACACAGCAGCATGGAGCGGTGTTGTCAAGATGTAACTCAACTGTGACATGGACACACCCTAAAATAGAAAAAAATGGAAAAAAGAAGCAGGACTGTCAAAGTCGTATGGAGCATTATGAGGTAAACGAACAGTCATACTATTTCCTACTTACCAAGCTCGCAATTGACATCGACTTTTTTCCAGTTTCCACTTCCACATCCTTGAGTCAACAGTGCTCTCCATCAGCATCCCTCAGCCTATACACTTTACTGTAGTGTGTACTATTCACCAAGTGACTGACAGCTCTGACCTTCTCACCCTGAAACACCTCTAAACCATGTTGAATTCCTCTGTGGCTAACTTGTCTAAACCACATTAGCTTTCATTGTGATATGTTTCTCCTGAGATGCTCTATGAAGTTAGAATAGATCAGACTGTCTCTGCAGTAGCTGTCTGCCCGGTCTACAAACACAACACAGCTACTCTCCCCTCAGGCTGGAACACAGCTGGACTCTAATCCAATCTGCCGGCCACACAGTCCACCAACCAAATCAATATGAAGGAACAGCAAGAACAGAGCGTCACAGGCTTTCAGTTGAGATGAAGAGGAGGGACATGTGGCGATTTGGGGACATTTTTGGTGTCAGGAAAAGAGAATGGGAAATGGAGACGTGGAGTTTGAATGCGTGTCTGACCCTTAGGTGAAGCTGAGAGTCATTGATGTAATAGGGCCTTTTCACAGCAGCCATTCTGGCGTGTCATAGCAGGGTAAACACAGGTGTAACTGATCAAATTGATTATGGTCCAGTTCTATTTAGTGTCACAGCTGTTCCAGTGATCAAGCATGCGCAATACCAGGGCCCGGCCCACCTTAATGGAACAGGGCCATAATGGAATTTTTATGAATTACACCTGTGTTTACCCTGCAGTGACATGTAAAAACGGCTGCTGCGAAAAGGGCCAAGCTATAGTGCAGGCCTCTAATCAAGTCTTCACTAATTGCTAAGTTAGAGCTACTCATTGATTAGCTTAAACGCCGCACTAATCACTATTTTATTCATTTTTTTTATTAATAACAATGAATCAAAAACCCTCAGAGAATTATCACCCAACTCTGCAGTTCCCCTCATCTGTATTGAGGGTTTAGCATCTTTCAGCTCTTTGTTTAGTTGCAACTTTGCTGTTTCGGTTCACTCTTACTGCTCTTATCAGTGTGATTTCCAGTCACCGCGGGCAGCTGTCTGCCACCTGCTCAGCACCAAACAACATTAGTGACTGGCTGAGGAATAAAGTGGGGCATTTTGCAGCTCGAGAGCAAGATATTTCCCTCCAAATATTGGACTTACATTGACCAGGTGGCCAAACACATGACTCCAAATGAGTGCTGCTCCGCGTCCACTTGATGATATTACGTGATATTATGTCAATGTTGTGTTTACAGATTGTTCTACTGTCCCGAGTGGCCCAAACAAATCAACTATTCCTGCTTTACAGACACAACCAGTGAGATCATTTTCCCTGAATTGGCTTCAAGTAAAACAATCAAGGATGCTATATAATGTATTTGTTGATACTGGTGTAGAATTTCAAAAGACCAAATATATATTATGCTAGTAAAATATATTATTACCTATAAACCTGTAAATGTGTCCATGTTATGAGCAATATTTCCTGTGGTGGTATTGAACAGTTTCTCTACAATATTGGTCCTACTCCTTAACCTTTGACCGGTCTCTATTAAGTGCACACCAAAAACACACAAATACATAATGCAGGAATGCAGATCACAAACAGTAACGTGGAAGAATATTGAGTGTGTATGTCTCTGCATTACAAAAAAAGCTACCCAAAATCTTGACCAGCTTGTAGACGCAACCCAATGTACACAACCAGTGACACAGGAAAGGTCATTACTCACGACACAAAGAGTGTCTTAACCATCCTCCGGTATACACACACACACACACAATCAGAGACATGTACATGCAGCATTAGTTACTGTACGGGGACGGCAGAGTGTGTTTATCTCTTGGGGCTCCCTTAATCAGGACAGTGTTTGAGGGATGTGTTGCAGCGAAGCGGCGAACAGTGTTAATTATTTAACCACACACACACACACACACACACACACACACACACCCGCAAACACCCATCTCAGAGTTCATTGTGAAATAGAACTGGAGAAAGGCAAACATGTCTGCTCAGCTGCTTTAGTTGGTGTTCCTCCACTGGGATGACAAGAGGTTAAGAAGAAGAAGAATAGCAGTGGGCACACGCACACACAAACACAAACACACACTAACACTCGCATGCAATAATTTTAGTACTACCTAACATGCTCAGACAGTGGGCTTTGGAATGAATTGCCACGCTTTGATGAAACATGGCAGGGATCACAGCAGAGGTCTTGCTCGGAATAATGGCTGTTGACAGGCTTTCAGTAGAACGGGGGAGAAGCACATAGTAGGTGGTGGATTCGAGTCATACACA